GTGGCTGCCTGTCATTATTCTTGGACTGATTTTGCAGAGTCGGTGGGTAGGCTGCTAGCCTCCAGCATTGTGACAATGTTAACTTTTGCTGTGGTCAATGAGATTTGCTGGCTCCTGAATGGCTTGGATGTTGTGGTGTGCCTGAAGAAAGACAATATTGGGCTTGCTAGACCCATGTACAGGAGATCTTCCTTCTTGGCTCTGGAAACCCTTGAGATAAATAATGTTTCTTTTCATGTAGAGACTCTTTGGTTGGAAAGTGGTATGTAAAAAAAAAAAAAAAAAGGAAAAAACAAAAACAAAAACCTGACCCTTGTATTATGAGTTGTTTCTGAGATCATCCCTTCTGCTGATCTAAGCACCTGGGCATCAATAGTCCAACCAAAGAGAAGTGCCAAAGATGGGATGGGGGTGGGGGGGAGGACTTTCTGACAGAGTTCTGACATGAAACAAACTTATTAGTGAGAATATCCTTAGAATTAAAATAATATTTCAAGGGGCAGAACTAACGAAATTCTTATGGAAGCTATATAACTGTAGCATTAAAATAAATTATGTTTGGGATTTATCTATTTCATTACTAACACTAATACAGTAGTAATATCAAGAAGCCTCCTGATTCAAATCAATGCATAACACATTTTGACTCAAAACTTCATCACTACACAAACCTCAATTAAATACCGGTTTATCTTAGTTCTGAACTAATATTCTTTTTTGTTTTTTTCACTACCCGACTATGGTGAAAGAACACCCCTTTTAAATGTTGAAAACATAAGATTATTAAAGCATGCAAACGGATTTTATATTTAGCAGAATGAAAAAATAAGCAAAGCATACATAATTTGAAACAAATGCTTTATTAGAGAAATTTATAAATATATTGGATATACATTTATTTCACTTAATCTAGATATGTTTAGAATCACAATTTCCTCAGAAGTTACTATTTTTTTTTTTTAAAGGACAACTCCACAAAATTGAACAGTGGTGTTAAAAGGTATAGTTGAGTTTGAGGATCTTAAATTATAATATGATGAATTCATAAATTATGATGGGTTAAATCTTTTCATAATCCAAATGTTTATTTTCAGTAGCTGTGCAGAAAGTTTCACAAAACTTTAAATTCACTACAAGAAAATCAATTCAACAGGAAATAAATGGTGAAAGAATGTAAATCACACTTAAAACAACAGCATTGCAACCAACTGTATATCAGTATTTAACTGAATGCATTATTCAAAGTAACCCTGGGAGTGGCTAAATAATTTAGAACAGTTTTCCTGAAATCTTTTATCAAATATTAATACTTTATAAAATATGAATAAGTGAACAATCCGGTTGTATTCTTCAAGACTGAACTTAGAAATTCTGTAATCAGTTATTCACCCAGAACTGTGGTGCTAAATGTGATCAATGACCAAATGCAAATCAAGATCTTCACTTCTCAAATATCATAAAATAGCTCATTAATGAGGTTGGATGAAATCCCTCTAGCCACCCACATAATCAGCAGTAACAATAGTGACAAACCAGCCAGGAACAGGGAAAGACCTGCCAGAAACAGCATTTTTCCACCAGAAATCTCAACTTCTGAAACTAGCAGCACTTCCCATTTTGGCCAATCCGATTAATAGGTAAGAGGGAAATTACTGTTCTTCTGCTAGAATCAAAGGAACAAAAGTTTTCTAGAAAATGCCTTTGGCAAATCACCCCTTCTCCCTTTTAGTTTAGGGCTTTTCCCCATGTAATTGTGCTTCCACATCTTTCCCAGTCTCCTTTTCTGAAATACGCACAATGTATTTCTGTTAATTTGACAGTGATTTTTTTCAATACTACAACTATAATTTTTTCAAATGAGCCTTGTAAACATTCATCATGGGCAGGAGTTCGAGTACGTCGTGTAAGTACTGTATAGCCTTTCATTTTTCCCTGGTAGAACCTTTTTGAAATGTCGAAGTAAGAAAACGATCTCCATAGATTTTCAGGAAAAGACTGACATGTCCTACACGTACCATTTATGCAGGGGCAGGGGGAAAGTGTTAATTCTCTGCTGAAGAACCACGGCTTTTCCTGAGATGGGTGAAGCACTTGCCCTACTCCGATTTAAAATGGAAATGACTTGGAATTAATCTCTTACCCTGGTCAGGGGTTCTCCGTAGTTCCGGGGCTGCCAACCAGCAGAGCTTCCCAGAGGGGGCTTATGCCCAGATGGGAAGAGAGAGATCGGCAAAGAGGCGAACTATTGCAGCCTAGCCTATTTCCATCCTCGGGAAATGGAAGAAACCACGACCGCCGCGCCTCTCCCCTCCAGACTCCCATTCTCGGCGGAGTCCAAAGTCACCAGTTCGCTTTCTGCCTTCTTCCGAAGCTTGGAAACGTCCACCTCAGCGGCTTGCAAAACTGTTTATTTAGGATGGGGTGAGGGGATGGGGAAGAAGAGAGCCCAGAGCTCTTCTTTTGCTTTTCATCCGAATAAAGTCCCCAGCAAGATTATATGGTGCTCTTTCTGGATTGTCTTCGGCCGCGATTGTAAGGCTACTCGGCTTCGGCAGCCTCGGCGCACACAAAACACTTCGCTTTAATTTTGCAGCAGCTACTGGGGTTCGCCGCTTCTGCTCACTCGTGCATGGCGGTTACAGAAAGGCTTTCCCTTCAGAACGTCAGAAATATGTACCTGACGGGGGAAACCAAGCTCTAGCATTTCTCTCACCCTCTGATGGTGGAAGATCTGGGGTTCGCCAGAGGGAGGTTAAATATGCCATCTTGGGCGCCCCAGAGGACGTAGATATGCGTGGGATAAGGCAACCTAACTTTGCATAGAGCTAAATGCTCTCCTGCACCCACTTATTGGCGAGTAAGCCTTGTAGAAGTAAGAGGAAAACCGTGGCACGCTTTTAAAGTTCTCTTTCCCTCCCTTCCCGGTCTTTTCTTCACGTTTTTCCTGAACTTCGAATTCAGAATGCAGAAGTTTGGGAAGTCTAAAAAAAAAAACCCATCCTGGAAGAAGTTAACGCAAACCACTTTTGTACTGTTGCCAGGAAAGCTTCGTGGACGCGGCCACGAGCTCCTCAGAAGTCAAGTTTGACTTCAGGCAGGCTTTACAGTACTTTTTTCGTCCTTCTTTAGCGAGAGTATATCTGAATTGCCTCCATCTCCTCAACGGTCCTGATCCAGACGACTTTCCCTCGTCCTGTTACCCTTCTAAACAGGGGGCGGAAGAATCCGTCTCCTCCCAAATCTTTAAATGTGTTCTACCGTCGCCGCGATTAAAAAGCCGCACAAACCCCGAAACCCATTCAGGCGGAGGGGATTTTTTTTTTTTGACCCTCTAGCGCCACCGTAAAATAAAGCACTCTTAAGGGGGCCAACAGTTTCGCCGAGCGGTAGGAATGCTGGTCCTTCTCCCGCTCGGGCTGGCGGGCGCGCGCGCGGCTTCCCCAACGGCAATGCCGAGGAAGGCGAGAGGAGGAGGAGGAGTTCGCCGAGTCGCCTCCGCCAGGCGGGAGAGAAAAGGAAAGGGATTCCTGCTGCACCACCTTAAACGCAGAGCTGCCGCCGACGCTGAGAAGAGGCTTCGGGGTCTCCGTCGCCGAGGGCGGCGAAGGAGAGAGGCGGACCGGGCTCGGTTATCCCCCCCTCCTTACCCAGGATTCCGGGGGGAGAAGGCGCGCTCTCGTGCCGGGAGTTCGGGCCTCGCGCTTAGCGTCCGTTAACTCCTCCGAAGGGGCAGCGCCTTTGCGGGGCGCAGCGGCATCGTCACCTGGGCTCCCTCTCGGGCGCGGATCCCACCGCTTGGCCTCCACTCCACTCCACTCCACTCCACCCCGCCTCCCGGCAGCTCCTGAACGCCGTAAAGGAGCGGCAGCGCCGAGGGCGGCTGGACTACCTGAGGCCACTCACCCTTCTGCCCGCGGCGCGGCCGACCCTCAGACCCGGCGGCTCTCGCAGCGCGCGCGCAGGACGAAGCGGCTTTGCTCCCACGCGGACTGTTCCCCGCCCAGAGAGGAGAGGGAGGCCACCCGGCGCCCCTTCGCCTCGGGAAGGAAGAGAAAAAAATAAAATGCGGTCAAGGAGGGCTGGCTCCCCCCGCCCGCCCTTCCCGCGGGACTCGCGCACCGGCCCCCTTCCTGTGCTGCGGGGGAGGGCCATGTGCGCTTGTTTTGAGGCTTCGTCGAGGCCAGGCCACTCTGAGGAAGAGACTGCCGGGAAGGAAGCGCCTCGGAGGGATACGGGGCTGGCGCCGCTCCAGCCCTCCCGCCCTCGTGTCCCGAGTGCCCTCCCGCGTGGCTGCTCGGCTTCACTTTTACAGCTGCAGTCTGGTTCGCTCGCCGCCTCCCCTCCGCCCCCAATTTCACAAGCTCCCCTCCCGCTAATCCTGCCCCTTTCCTTCGCAATGCCGCCTCCTCACTTCTCCTCCCAGCTCCTCCGCCTGCTCCTTTTTGGTTTGCCTGGGTGCTTGCGTGAACCGCGTGTTTCAATTTATTATATATTTATTGGGCTTTAATTCCCTGACAGGCGGCTTCCTCTTTTTTTCCTCCCCCGCCCCCCGGCTCTCTCCCCCGCGTG